AAAAAAAAAAAAAAAGGTTTAAATAAAATTCCTGCACTTCTGGGATCAGGAAGGGGCTCCTTGAACATAATAACTTTTTGATTAATAAACCATAGGAAGCTGAGTTTAGAGGATAGACTAGCTTGGTTTTCTTGTCCTTATATAATGGAGGGACAATTTGCTCAAGTGCCAAAGCCAGCTGGAGGCCATGGCTTAGTGTCAAAGCCAGCTGGAGGAGATGGCTCCATCTACTTCTGGAGGCTCATTATGAGCCCTGCTGTGATCTCTTGTGAGAGCTTCAGCATTTCCCTCTGCCACCCCCTTCCCTCTTCATCTTCCCAGATCCTAGTCCTGAAAATAAAATAGTAAGAAGGGAATCTCTACTAGCCATCAAATGATTTGTAAAGGAACTTTCTATTACCAAAATCCCTAGAATTCAGCATGATACTCGAAAACTCAGGATCCTGAGAACTGCAGTGTGACTCTGCCTGAGGTAAGGGGGAGGGCTATGTGTTTGGATTTTGTGTTGCAATAGAAAGAACAGAAGAAGAATTAGAGAAACCTGAATTTTATTCCGGACTCTGCTACCGCCTTGATGCAAGGTAGCTGGCAAATTCCTTACACTTCCTAGCCTCAGCTTCCGCATTCACAAAATGAAGATAATATTACCTATCCCACTACCTGACACAGCTTTGAAAAGCACAAGATTATAGGTGTGTTCTGGGTTCTTGTTAATAAAACAACTGACAGTAATAGCCATGTGACCTTAGGAAAGTCACTGCTCCCCTCTGTACCTTTGTTTCCCCATCTCTAAATTGACAAAATTAAATTATCTAAAAGGTTAATTCCAGTTCTGAAGTTCTAGGACATTAAGTATGGAGCAAAAGCCATAGAAATTGAAGACTTAAGTAATAATCATCACCATAGTAAAAATAGTTACAGAGAACTGTGTGCAGGTACTATTCTACATACTTACTTTGTACTAATTAATTTATCGTAACAACAACCCTCTGAGGCAGTACTATTATTATCCTCTCTTTATAGATGACAAAATGGGCACTTCTTTAATCCATACATTAAATGACCTCCTGAAGGTCACTACAGCTACTACATGGTAGAAATAGGATCAAAGAACTCCAGACCTCACATGGTCTCTCCATCTTCAATTGGTGCAAAACAAACCTACATAGGAATTACAGCACAGTGTGATGACTGCTGTAGTGCTCTAAGAGCAAAGAATCTGGAGGAATATATTCAGCAGAAAGAACAGCATTTATTAAAAAGAACCATGGTGTATGAGGAGATCCAGTCCTCTTCCTTTACCACAGGATATACAGTAGAGGAGTAGTAGGAAGTGAAACTGTGAGCTGGGCTGAGGCATTTGGGCATAGCCTGAAAGAAAGGGATGACAATAAGGCATTTAATACAGAGGCTTGGTATAGACCAGATTTGTCTTTTTTAATTACCATTTTAGCCACAATGTAGAGAGAATATTTAAAGGGAACCTACATAGGACACTACTAAAACTGTTGAGGTAAAAGACAGTAGGGATCTAGGTAAGGCACCAGCAAGGAGAATGATCCCGAAGGGGAATTAATGGCCTGGAGAGTTTTCTAGGAGGCAAAATCCACAGGCCTTGATAGGATTGAATGGAAGTGGAATAAAGAGGTAAGAAGACTAAGATGAGTCTTAGATTTTTGGTTTGGTTTGAGCAGGTAGATGGTGAGGAAATAAGATATGGATATGGTGGTGGTCTTTGAAGTATGTGAAGAAACTCAGTGTATACATACTTGGAGCTAAAGAGAGACCTGAGGGCTTAGAGAATTAGGCTTGTAACCATCAGAATAAAGATGATAACTAAAGTGCTGGGATTGGAGAGAAGAGGATGGAGGAGATAACAGGGGAATATAAATATTTTAGGGGAGAAAAATCAGTAGAGTGTGCTTGCTAGGAAGCAGAGGGAGAAGTCTGGAAGAACAAGTGGTCAGTAGGGACAGATGTCCAAGAAAAGTCAGGAAAGGAAAGATCTGAGAAACATCTACTGGATTGAGCCACAAGGATGACCTTTTGAAAAAGTTTTCTTGGTGTATGATTGAGGTGAGTGGAGATGGACTATACAGAGTAGAGAAGGGAATAGAAGCTGGGAAAGTAGGCAGTAGATGACTCTTTAGATAAGTTTGGTGAAAAAAGGAGAGATAGAGAAAAAGATAGCTAGGGTGGAACAAAGGACCATAAAATTTTTATTTCTTGTTTCCTGAGATGGTTGAAGGGTAGGAGCCAATGTGTGAAACTTGAAGATACAGAGAAATTAAGCTCTCTTTTGAAGATTGAATATATGGTAGCTCTCTTCTTCCTAAAAACCTCATGAGGCAAAGACTATACTTCCTGTCTTAGATGAGAAAACTGAGTCCCAAAGAAGGGAAGAGACTTTCCCAAGGTTACTGACCCAGAAATTGAACTGGGAGCATCAAGTTGTAAACCTAGGTCTGCCTAATTTCTAAAATCCTGTTCTTTGCATTTTGCCATAAGAATGCATAAATATATGGACCATATATGAAGCTGATGCTGGTGGGTGGGGAGGGGCCTAAAGTTGAGGGTGACCCCACCCACCCACCTCACAATTTTCTTTCCATGAGGTGAATACCTGAGGTCCGAGGATAACAAAGAGGGGTTGGGGATGGACAGTAAATAAAAGGAGGTATGATGCCTTAAGACCTTGGCTGTAGGGTATGGGGGAGTAGGGAGACTGGAGCTCTGAAAAACCTACCAGCTCACCCTGATGACATTACAAACTGAGGTGTGTGACCTTGACTTTGGAGCACTAGGAACAGTTAGGTTGAGTCAGTTATTGGACCATGGTTGGTTTTGTAGGACTTGAGGATTATGGGAAGAGAAGAATTAAAGGTTGAAGCAAAGCTCCAGGCTGGGTCAGGCAGAGGGAGTGGGAAGAGGCTTGAGCCAGAGGGCTGGAGGAGTGGGTTTCAGATGAGGTGCTGGCAATCACAGGGACACCTAGACTGAAGTGGTCCTGGGAGAGTAGCCAGTTGTCATAAGAGAGGAAAACTTGCCCTGGAAACCTCAACTGTTTGCTTCCATCTATCTGCTTTCATTTTACTTGGAATGTGTTCTTTGTAATGCCACCTCTTCATTTCGCCTGTAAATGTCATTCAGTATTCATTTCCTGAGCATGTCTGTTCCTGAAGTGTGGGGTCTATGTCTGAGGGTAGGTTACAGAAGGCTCAGGTGAAGGAGATTTGGTCAGATATGAGAGGCTGTGTAGTGGTTTAACTTCATCTAAAAGGCTAAGAGATGAGATTGAGAGCCTTCCCCAAGAGACTGATGTCAGAATGCTCAGGGATGGTAGCTTGACACCACAAAGCACAATTCTGTTGGCCTAGCAACTGCCAGGCCAGAACCACCTCTTTAATCCATATGTTCTGAACTGAGGGAGATGCATCTACCAAATCCCTAGCCACAATGTAGACCCTATTAGGAGTGGAGGAATACAAGATGAATATCGGGTCCTCACCCTGCAGTTTACACACTAATGGAGTGCAGAGTAGTGGAAATATGATGTGGAAATTCATAGCTGATGTCTAGTTGTGATTCTTCAGAATCCTTAAGCTGGAGAAGGAGAAGATTGGGAAAGGATTACCAGAAGTAGGAGTTTGAGGTGAAGGTAGAACAGTATATGTAAAGCTGTTTAGTGACCTCACCTGTTGTGGCAGCATCTCCAGGGCCTGCAATAAGACAGTGGGTTTGGGAGTGAGAAGTGGGACATCCATGGGTGAGTAGACTGATGGTTAAGGACAGGGAGAGAAGAGTTAGAGGTTAGCATCCAATTTTTTTGATGGAAACCCTTAGTCTTTCCCCTTTTTTTATCACCCACAGATCTGGTGTATATCCCTGTTCATAATGAGAGTAGTCCTGTTCCAATCAGCCAAGATGAACTTCATGGACATCACCAAGATATTCTCCCTCCTGCAGCCCGACAAGGAGGATGAGGACACCGATACAGGGGAGAAGCAGGCTCTCAATCAAGCAGTGTATGATAACGACTCCGATACCTTGGACCAGCTTTTGCACCAGGAGCGTTACAAACGTTTCATCAACAGCAGGAGTGGCTGGGGTGTCCCTGGGACACCTTTGCGCTTGGCTGCTTCTTATGGCCACTTGAGCTGTTTGCAAGTCCTCCTGGCACATGGTGCTGATGTTGACAGCTTGGATGTCAAGGCACAAACACCACTTTTTACTGCTGTCAGTCATGGCCATCTAGACTGTGTGCGTGTGCTTTTGCAAGCTGGTGCCTGTCCTAGTGGTAGTATCTACAACAATTGTTCTCCTGTGCTCACAGCCGCCCGAGATGGTGCCATTGCTATCCTGCAGGAGCTCCTAGGCCATGGAGCAGAGGCCAACGTCAAGGCTAAACTACCAGTCTGGGCATCGAACATAGCTTCATGTTCTGGCCCCCTCTATTTAGCTGCAGTCTATGGGCATCTTGACTGTTTCCGCCTGCTTTTGCTCCATGGGGCAGACCCTGACTACAACTGCACTGACCAGGGCCTATTAGCACGCATTCCACAGCCACGTACCCTCCTTGAAATCTGCCTATACCATAATTGTGAGCCAGAGTACATCCAGCTGCTGATAGACTTTGGTGCTAATATCTACCTTCCATCTCTCTCCTTGGACCTGACCTCCCAAGATGATAAAGGCATTGCATTGCTGCTACAGGCTCGAGGTGAGTGGTGAGGAGGCCTTCTACCTTGGAGGACCCAAGGCTCCAAATTATTGTCCAAGACAATCCTTTCAAATAAATTGGAGAAAACTCCATCTTTCTTCTACTCATGTGACCCCAGTGAATAACTTACCATGTTAGAGAAGGGGCCACTAAGATGATGTAGGGGGTAACGCTAAACTAAATACAGGTCCTGGCTCTACTATTGACCATTTTGTGGCCTTAAACATGCCTTCTCTATGCCTCAATATGTCACCATTGGTACCATGCACTGGGGGCAGAGTGAGGGATATTTATTAGAAGAAATGAGGCCTTAGGGATGTTACAGCCAGGACAGAGTAGGCTTAAGTGGGAGAATTATGATGAAAATTAATCCTTATGACCTATTTCTCCTTGCTGCAGCCACTCCACAGTCACTCCTATCACAGGCTCGTTTAGTCATCCACAGAGCCCTGCGTCAAGCTGGTCAGCTACAAGCCATTGACCAGCTGGATATTCCGCCTGTGTTGATTAGCTATCTCAAACACCAACTGTAATCTTACAGTCTGCCCAGGAATCCATGATGCCTCCAAAAAACACCTGCAGATCCAAGTAGCTGGAAGGCACTACAGCTCCATCCACTCACCTGGAGCTGCTCTCCTGTATTATCCTCCACAATAAAATCTTCACCAAAATAAGTCCTAATGGCTGTTGTGTCTGGTGTGTTTATGTGTGGTGGAGAGGCTACCAAGGGAAGAAGTTTGGCTATGAAGCAGTGGTATTGCATCTCATGTGCACAGGACTGTTGGCCATTGAAAGAGCAAAAAAGCATAGCAATGGCTGTACCTCCCCACCAAGATCCTAGTAAGTTTGAAACTGTGCTACCTTGAAGCGAGGTCCTAAGGAATCCAATTGGGTGGAAAGTTAGTATAAACTTGCGCATCTCTGTGCCTCCCTTCACTTCTCTGGCTGTGATAAAGCACCTTTTCAGGGTCTGTCCCCTATTTATGTAAAGTGACCAAGAAGCAACCCATTCACTCCCCTTGAAGCTGCCTTCTAACTATTCCAATATATAGTTAAGATCAACCTGGGAAAACAAACTACCAAATATTTATTCTAAGGAATTTAATGCAGGAAAGAAATTGGTTACATAAGTGACAGGCTGAGAATCCTAACAAGACAAGCAGGTAACCCAGAAATCAGAGGCAGCAGAATGCCAACTCTACTGGCAGAGTAGAGGAGTAAGGGAGGAAGTGTTTCCAGAGTTCAGCAATGTGGGTCACCTGATGGAAAGTGAGATTATAGGTCTGTCCATAGGATCTAGAACTACAGATGAGATATGTTTTCCAAACCAGAGGAAAGGAATAAGTACCCTCTTCTTTCCATTATTTCTGCTCTCCAAACAACCTCTAAGGTCCTTCTCATTGGGCAAACTGGAAGTCAACTAATATGAGGGCCTGGGATACCACTTACAAGGACTAGCCCCCTCTTAACACAGGATAGATCAGGGGGAGGAGAATGATGAAAGGAAAGTGGGATGAGGTGGTGTGACCTGGGCCAGGAGCTGGAATTACACAGAATTGTAAATATGTTGACATCAGGAACCATAGAGGAAGCATAGCAGAGCCACCATCCAAGGCAGAGAAGGCTGAGATACCTGGGCTTCTCCATTTTTTTTCTGACACACACCACTTCCTCCATTTGGTTGAACACAACCACAAAGTAGTTGACTTGGAGGCCTGGAAACAGTCTGCAGGGGTGAAACTCCCTGTGATGTAGAGAAGGGTAGGCTTATGAGGAAAACAGGCTCTGGAGCAGCACAGATATCCACTTAAATGCAGGCACATTCATTTTGCCAAATCTATATCCTTCCATGGGATCTTCTTGTATTTCCCCAGCACAACTGTGGGTGGCTATGTGAGTGATCAGTGAAGGGGCAGAAGAGGAGAGCCCAGATAATTTGTACCCCGGAAGCACTTTAGATGTTTTAGAGCTTTTACTGGGAGCTGTCTTGATGGCCCCCTAATTATGCTCCCCTATTCTGGGAAAAGAGAGGCAGAGCATATGTCTTAAACTGACTTGCCTCTTCTCTCTCTCTCACCCTACGACTCTTCCCCCATACTAGTACCTGAGAGAGACTTTAGGAAAGGAAGGTGAGAAGACTGGACATCTATCTCCGTGTTCCTGTCCCTCTCAGCTTCCAGGCTTTCATTCTTAGGCACTCTGGAGAGGGAGTGCAACTGTTGTTCCCCAAGGCACATAAGAACTCAAGGACTGAGCTGTATGCACAGACAAAGGACTTCAGGGTAGTCATCTGAGCTCTCTTTTACCTTTCTTTCAATGGGGATCCTGAGGAGTGGTTAGGATGCTGCCTGCCATCACCTTAGGGCTCTTGGGGATTAGAAGTCAACCTTAGCGGCCTCATCTGTTATAAATCCCCAGGAATTTGTCAAATGGGGCCCAGCCAGGATGGCCTCCACCATGGCATCTGGGTCACAGACTCCAGTTGATCCAAGAAAGGACATAGACACTCTGGGCATTTCAGAGAACTTATATTTAAGGAATTCATAGGAGTGTACCAAATTCTAGGCAAATAGGAAATACTAAAACTCTTATCCCTGTTTCCTAGAGAGGAAATTGAGAATCCAACAAAGTATAGTGCCTAAAATATTGGTGGTCCAGCTCTCTAGATTACTCCCAATTGTTCTTTCTTCACTTGATTGTGCTGCTTATGGGCAGAGACAATTGCAGGGCCTAGTGCCTTAGTGTTCCAGTTTCCCTGTGGAAACTGCAGTTAGTTGGAGAAAATGGATCACAGGACATGGATGATCAATACATGCTGCAAGGAGAGAGGCTCACCATCACTCTGCAGAGAGTGAACCCCTCAGCACCCACCATGTTTTTATTAGAAAATATTACAAGACTTTTGCCAACAAGTAGCAGTTCTCGCATCAAGTAACAGTTCTCACTGCTTGTAGGTTCTTTCCTCAACAACTTTTTCCCAACAACTTTGTTGGTTTCTACTCTATACATAAACATTTCCTTGATCACTTCCCGACCCTGCCTGCAAGAACACAGAGCTGCTTTCCCAACCCGGCCTGTGAGAACACAGAGCTGTTTGGTGGCATGCCGCCAAGCTTAAGATGCTCTCATGCTTGGATTAGAAACTTTTAACACTCTCATGTCATCCACGGCCTGAGTCAGGTCACAGGAAAAGTCATGGACTGAAAAAAAGTCCATCTGCATTCCCCCCCTCCTTTTTCATGAATACATTTATGCATATGTGGGGTACAATGTGTTGATTTTTTAATACAATTTGACGTGCTTACATCATACTAATTAATATAGCTTTTGGCTCATTTACTTGATTATTGTGTTAAGAGATTTATGTTCTACACTTGATAGATTTGACTTGTACCCTTGCAATATGGCCCATAGGTGTGGTCTCCCCATTTACACTCCCTCCATCAAACCTTCCCTCTCCCCTCCCTTCGCAGTCCATTTCTCTACTTCATCCTGGGCTATAGTTGTATTCTATCTTTCATAAGAAAGTGTGAGTAAATATAAGTTGGTTTCATAGAAGTATGGATACATTTTCCTCCATTCTTGAGGTACTTTACTCAGGAGAATATGTTCCAGGTCCCTCCATGTAAACATAAAAGAGGTAAAGTCTCCATTTTTTTAAGGCTGCATAGTATTCCATGGTATACATATACCACAATTTATTAATCCATTCTTGGGTCAGTGGGCACTTGGGCTTCGTCCATGATTTGGCTATTATGAATTGAGCTGCAATGAATACTCTGGTGCAAATATCTTTGTTGCAAAGTGACTTTTGGTCTTTTGGATATTCTCCTAGTAGAAGAATTGCAGGATCCAACCGCAGGTCAATTTTTAGATCCCTGAGTGTTCTCCACACTTCTTTCCAAAAGGAACATATTAGCTTGCTTTCCCACCAGCATTGGAGAAGTGTCCCCTTTTCTCCACATCCACGCCAACATCTGTAGTTTGGGGATTTTGTTATGTAGACTACTCTTACTGGAGTTAGATGGTATCTCAAAGTGGTTTTGACTTGCATTTCTCTGATGATTATAGATGATGAGCATTTTTTCATGTGTCTGCAGACCATGTGCCTGTTTTCTTTGGAGAAGCTTCTGTTCCGTTCTCTTGCCCATAGTGAAATGGGATCACTTTTTCTTTGCTTATTAATAAGTTTGAGTTCTCTGTAGATTCTGGTTATCAGACATTTGTCAGAACATAACATGCAAATATCCTCTCCCATTCTGAGGGAAGTCTACTTGCTTTGCTTACTGTGTTCTTGGCAGTACAGAAGGTTTTTAGTTTGATTAGATCCCAGTAATGTATGTTTGGTATTGCTTCAATTGCCCTGGGAGTCCTCCTCATAAAGTTTTCTCCCAGGCTAATTTCTTCATGTATTTCCCCCACACTCTCTCCAAGAATTTTTATGGCTTCATGTGTTAGGTTTAAGTCTTTTACCCAGTGAGAGTCAATTATTGTTAGATGTAAGAGATGTGGGTCCAGTTTCAGTCTTCTACAAGTTGCCAGCCAATTCACCCAGCACCACTTGTTAAATAGAGAGTCTTTCCCCCAATTTAAGTTTTTGATAGGCTTATCAAAGATCCAATGATAATAAGTGTTTGGATTCATCTCTTGTTCCTCATTCTGTTCCATACATCTACCTCTCTATTTTTCTGCCAGTACCATGCTGTTTTGATCACTATAGACCTATAATATAATGTGAAGTCCAGTAGCATGATTCCATTTGGTTTGTTTTTATTTCTGAATAATATCTTGGCTATTTGAGGCTTTTTCTGTTTCCATATAAAATTAATTGCTAGTTTTTGCAGTTCTTTAAACTATGACAGAGGTGCTTTAATGCGAATTGCATTAAATCTGTAGATTGTTTTGAGTAGCATGGACATTTTAACAATGTTGATTTTTCCCATCCATGAGCATGGTATGTTTTTCCCTTTGTTGACATCTTCAGCTATTTCTTTTCTCAGGGTTTCATAGTTCCCTTTATAGAGATCTTTCACATCCTTTGTTAGGTACACTCCCAGATATTTCATTTTCCTTGGCACTACTGTAAAGGGAATAGAGTCCATGACTATTTTTTCAGCTTGACTATTGCTGGTATATATGAATGCTACTGATTTCTGGTATTTATTTTGTAGCCTGAGATACTGCAGTATTCTTTGATCACTTCTAAAAGTTTTATGGTTGAGAGCCTGGGGTTTTCTAAGTATACAACCATATATCTGCGAAGAGTGATAGTTTGATCTCCTCTGACTCTATATGGGTACACTTTATTGACTTCTCTTGCCTGATTCCAATGGCTAGGACTTCCATTACAATGTTAAAAAGAAGTGGAGACAATGGGATACCTTGCCTAGTTTCTGAGCTGAGTGGAAATGTTTTCAATTTTACTCCATTCAATACAATATTGGCTGTAGGCTTGCTGTACATGGCCTCTATCAGTTTAAGAAATGTCCCTTATGGCTCGGCGCCTATAGCTCAACCGGCTAAGGCGCCAGCCACGTACACCTAAGGTGGCAGGTTCGAATCCCCAGCCCGGACCCGCCAAAACAACAATGACGGCCGAACCAAAAAATAGCCAGGCGTTGTGGCGGGCGCCTGTGGTCCCAGCTACTTGGGAGGCAGAGGCAGGAGACTTGCTTG